TTCTAAGAAACTAATTAATTAAAATAAATGAAGCTGTTAAAACCATCATTAGATAAACCTTCACTAAGGGGTGACTCTCCACTTCTTCATTTTCGTTCGTTGTTCTAGTATATATTTTTGTATGTTCTCTACTGAATTACTTAACTTCGTTATGAACATATCACAATATTATTATTATCATTATGATTACTATATTATTGTTGTTATTATTATTATTAATGATAATAATAATACTAATAATATCATCATTATTATTACTACTACTACTATTATTATATATGCAATTAGTAGGTTTGTGCACAGGCATAGCCTCCGTGAGGTGCCACATTCTATACATATTGTATTTCTGCATTTATATGTATTTTTTGTATCTATTTCTACGACTGGAATAACATACAAACAAATAAATGAAAAATTTGGAACATTTTTTGAGAAAATTTTGAAAACATCTTATAGGTTTCATGTTAAGTTCTCCCAAAGACTAAAACTAGTTTCAAATTCACAGGGACAAGAGTTCAGTTCTACCAGTCATAGAATATCCCTTTTGGAAAAATCCTGAGTATTAGCACTAGTGTTGTCCACAGGGATGGCTGAACAGATATTTTTGGAAAAGGAATGCAAAGAAGGATGGGGAAAATAAAAGAAAACGAAAAAAAAAGCCTCTTTCGGTATCAGAGACATACAAAGTGTATATTTCCATTGCGCATCAATCATTTGGTTGCATAACAACTTTCTCTGTATTAAGTTATATAATACTGTTATATAATATAAGTGATAATAAAAGGAACTAAAAACTATTATGGAGGAATACTCTTGTAAACTAGTCTGCTTTGGTCATGTTCAAAAATCAAATTAAGCAATTAAGATCGTTTGCAACAGCAGGCAATCAATTTAAAAAAGAAGTTTATTGAGAATGCAATTATCAGCTGAGAAAGACTATTTATCAGGTAGGGATAACAGGAGATTATAAATACTGGCTGCTGTATATTAACTATAATCCAGTTATCAAAAATACATTCAAAAATTACCATTTGTTGCTGGCATTAGTAATTGGTCGAGCCCCACAGATGAGAGCTCCAAGAAGAATAGGACCAGGTGAAAGTGGGGGTCGGCCTGAAACCCCAGGTAATGCAACAGAGATACCATTTATCAGCGCACGAGCTCTTCCTCTCTCAATAGCCAGCAAAAGTACAACAAGAGAACGGATGTTGACAAACATATCATCATCTGTTTTCATAATAAAGCGAGCACCTGCACAGTGAGTGCGAACCCATTTGAGAAGGAAGACAGTCTTTAAAGTTAAATTGTTGTAGGAGTCTACAAAATTTTCCTGAACCAGATCACCATAACGTGCTGACTCTTCATCCAGTGCTTCCTAAAAATAAACATATGAATTAGTATTAAATTCCTCATGCAAGATTATAGTTAAATAAAAAATTATACTACCACACATTATTACATTTTTAGCAGACAGCATTTTATATTCAACTAAAATCCCCATTCACTGTATGCGGCCATGAAGAAATTGTACTTTTTGTACTGTAGTGAATTGCTCATGTGGCCACTAAACCTAACACAGATGTAAGGAAAGCACATTAATGTCAAACATATGTACTGTGTAACAGTGAAATGGCCAGAAGGTGAAATAAACAGTAACTTCCCCAACTACATGATAAGAAGGGTGTGTTTAAGTAGTAACTCCAGGAATCTGGGAATAGGTCAAAATGAAGATTAAAAAAGCAATAAATTACCAGAATGATTACAATCTGATAGGGAGAGAAGTGAAGTAAGGAAGATGGAACATAGGAAAATTTGAAAACTGAAGTGGAATAATAGGAAAGCAAACAAGCACTAGAAATGGACCAGTGAATGAGAGCGCCACCTGAATGGTATGCAGCTAATATTTACAACAATGCATCACTTTACTTTATTCCCAAAAGTCACCCGAGTATGCATTATATAAAAATCTTCTCTAAGGGGCAATTATTTGTCTTTTAAATGCTCTCAGATGAAATATAAAATATCCACCTATTTTAACAACATAAGAATTTTTTAAAAAGTTCACATCACAATCCTCAAAGTAATACTCTCGCGAAGGCATGTCATCACCCTCACGTCTATGAAATCTGGAAAGATGATTTTACGGCTCGATTCCAAATCAATTCTTATCGCAGCCTCTAAAATTTCCATCTTTTATCAATTTATGGTGCTTCGACACCTTGTAATCTTACACTTGAGTAGAAAGTGTACACTGCATGAAAGAAATCTACCTTAAAAGTGTTCACAAACATGTCCATAAATCATAACAGTGAACCACGATAAGCACAAATAAAAGAAATCCTAAACTTTTATGCAATCGTGTTTTCAGAACATTATCGGTCCTACGAAACAGCATCTAAGAAGAAAACACAACAAACATCTTTGAAATGATATATTAGGTTTGTTTCACACTGCTCGTGTAATATTTCATTTATTTATTATGATATTTTTCTTATTTATTTATTTATTTACTTAAAGCAAGTACATTATTCCCTAGCCAAAAATGTACGCATGTAAACATTTTTGTTTATTTAATTTCAAATTGTACATGTTACAATATGATTAAGGTTCAAAAATTTTAATCAAAATTACAGAGTAATTATTTGTTCCCATATTTTAAACTATACTCCAAATATAATTCAGTCAATTATCTGATATACTTTTAATTTCTGGAGAATTCACCACATTGATTAGCCCATATAATGAACACTTTACTCTTGAATGAACAATCTTTGTAAATACTGAATAACGTCACTTATAGTTTGTTTTTTTAACAATCAGTTAATATGGAGCCTATTTTGAATGAATGTGAAATAAACTCTGTTTATTGTTTCCTGAGTATTCTGTAGGAAACGACAATGTTTCAAGAACTCTTGTTTGCTCTTCAATCCATGAAATTTCTAAAACATAATATAAAATTAATTATAATTTTGCTAACTATTGGATATCTGTTAAATTTTGAACTTTTGGTCCCTAAATATTATCGTTACCAAAGTATAATCAAAAAACAATAAACTACGATAAATTTATAATAATGTCTGTATAAAAGGATTGTCAAATAAACCAAAGGATTACATATTTATAATCAGAAGACAATTAAAAAACTTAGAGAAAATTATATTTGAAAGATTAATTTCACATACCTGCAGGTGCTCTGCAGAGGAAGACCCTGGGGAAGGCATGCCAACCAAGAAGGCAAGGTGCACAGTCATGTTTTCCACTTCACGCAAACTGCCCCAAGTGTCACGGATAGCAGCTCGAGTGGCTGCATGCTCCAGGGCAGAGCAAACAACTACCAATAAGTAAGGTGTGTTGGCACCACAAGACCATGAAGGCTGAAGGAGGGTTGTAACATTCTCTGGCAGTACATACAGTCGTAGGTCTCTGGAGCGGTTGCGGGCCCAGCCAGCAATGGCTGTGGGGAGTTTCATTACATATATGAGTGGTGAATGAAGGAATGACGCTTCATTTGACCAGCAAAATAGATACATATTTCAGGCAACAGAAAACATTTACAAGATATGATTAACTCAATTCTTCTTACAAGTCTTTGATAAGATGTAAATAAAATAATAATAATAATAATAATAATAATAATAATAATAATAATAATAATAACAACAACAACAACAACAACAACAAGTCAGCCTCGTGGTGCAGACAGTTACGGTAGACGTAGTCTATGCAGAGGAGGCATCAGGTTAGAGTCCTGCATAGACAAGGTCGTATTTGTGATTGTCCCTTCATCCGTCATCATCATACTATCATCTCATAATTCACACTTCAAGGTGTAACAACCTTGTCATACTAAGGGATACAACTGAAAAGCTGATCCTGAAACTACACACGTTAATTGTGTAGTGTGATCAGTAATGGTCTATATGCCAACAACAACAACAATAATTATAATAACAATACAAAAACAAGTTTGTATAAACCATTCAAAGAATGCAATACATTTATTTTTATGCCAAAATATTTATCCCAATCAAACAAGATGCCTCACAGTAGGACAATTACTTTACCCAGCACCCTACGGGTAAGGCCAACATTATTTAGATGATGCCTGTAATGATCTATTCATTGTCATAATGCTCAGTTTGCAATGAACCGTCTATGTCTATATAAAACTTTTATTAACCATTCGAGGAAACCTTCCTACAGGACTGAATGCAGGTTGAGTGACATGCAATAGCAAATGCATCATCCCCTTTACGGGGCACTTAGGGATCACAGTGTCACTCTTTTACATCAGTCTTGTCTGTGTAGCTAGAGAACGCTATGAGGACGTAAGTGCAGATGACACCATTAAAGAAAAGTGTATTGACAGCTGAGCTATTCACAACTAAGATAGCTTCTTGGATCCACTGTTCACAAGTGGATCTCTCTTTACTGTTTATGAACAAAAAAAAATCCAGCTAAGTCAGGACAAATTGAATCCTTTTTATCAAAACTTGGGGGGTTTATATACCAAAATTAAATGTTTAGAAAAGTTTATTTTCTGTTTGACGAGTATGATGTTACTGTTATCACAGAAAGCGTGTAGTTGGTCTTGGATATTTTGAGCACGGAATTTAAATTGAGTAATTATAAAATTTATAGAATGATTGGAAAGCAGATTGAAGTTCTTATTCTAGAGGAAGTGGTGATGTTATTGGTGTGAAGAAAGTGTAAAAAAGCTTTAAATTGATTTCTCTAACTATGTTTAGCATCTATTTGTTTGCCTTAGCCTGGTCTTAGGCTTAGTTCTTAGGTCAAGATGTGTTTGTTGGTTGTGTATTTCCCTGCTTTTGCGACAGAAAATGTATTTCCTCTCTTGAAAACCTTAATTTAGTATACCCAGGAGCTAACTGGATGTTGTTTAATGACTTTAATTTGTCCAGTGTAAAATGGAATGTTGGTATCTTTGCTAGTTATGAAGTTTTTGAGGTTGGCACCTTTTCATAAGAAAAAACTTTAGCTAATATATTGGCTGAGACGATTAGTTTTTTTGAATCTTTTTCAGAAAAAAGTGGTAAATAATTCTAACGATGTTATATTGGACCTAATATTCACTAATGGCAGTATTCATCCGTTTGTTTATTCTTGTGAAGACGTATTAGTTGCTGCTTGCCATCCATGATAACTAGAAGGTGGATTTTAATGAAATGTCTCATTATTTCCTTTCACTTTAGAACAATGCCATTTAGAGTATAATTTTGTTTTATGTTATGCCAAAACGAAATGACCCATTTTTGTACGTCATTTTTTTTGGTGCATTTTTTATCAATTTTGCCTAATAAGTCACTTTTATCTTTTCACATTATTTTTAATGCATTTTTCATTGATTTAATGGATTTTAATACCATTTTAATGCTACTTGCATCAAACAGTAATTACGAGGTGCAGAGACGGTTCATCACAGAATTCTTGTGTAGCCTATTCGATTTCATCGCTCATATATTGCAATGTCAGCCATTGTGAGTACTATGTAATCTGTGATGCCTATCTGCGGCATTGTCAGTTCGGCTGATTTCACGATAAGGCAGATATATTCTTTTAAAGAACAGCACAAACCAAAGGTTTGTAAGATGAGTTCAAATGAACAAATGGAAGAAGCCTCGATTACATCAGTAACATACTCGACAGCTGGAGTTGTTAATCTGAAGTGGTTCTAACACTTTTTTTTTTTTTACATAATTTTTCTTTGTTTTTAAGGCATTTTTAGAGCACTTTATTGATCATTTTTGGCAATGGTTTAGGTCATCAAATTCCACCCCCTAATGATATTCTTTGTGTTTATTTTATGAATCTTCTGCGGGACGAGATGATTATTTGGATGGGGGCTGGGTCTAGGACTGTTCCTCTGCAAATTTTAAAATGATTAACGAATTTCTGTGTTCCTAGTACTCTGCTTCAATTTTATCTGATTGGTTTTTTTCCCAATATCATTTCTGATCGGTAACCGTTTATATGAGTGTATTGATCTGTTTCTTCCGAAAAGGAAATTGTAAAAAGACCGTTTTCTGTGGTGGTATAGTTGGGAGCTGAAGAACTATTATTAAAAAAAGGGAAGCTCATAAGAACTACAAATGGCATGTGTCACTGTTATCTCTATTTTCTAATTTGAGCCATTTTTGGAAAATTTTTGCGAGACTAGACATTGCGAGTTTCAATCAAGATCTTTCACATTTGATCTCTTCAGGTAAGAAAAACTTTTGTAAATACATTAATTCCAAAATGAAATACATAGGTCTACTAAACTCGAACTTGGATTCACATGTTCTATGTCAGTTCACAATTGATAGCTGAAGGATTTGCCAATTATTTTTCAACTTTTTATACTCAATGAGTTAGCTATTCTAGGGCTGATCTTGGAAACCAATTACACTACATTCTGAATTCCGTAGAGACTGGAGTTACTGATATTCTGTGGGATATTGAACAATAAAAAACTGATGGCCCTGATGAGATCCCTATGATTCTGTTAAACAAATTGGTATTTATTTTCTCATAAATTTTGAAAATTGTATATGACAAGTCCTTACTTGAGGGTCTCTTTTCAGAGTGGAAGTCCTCATTCGTTATTCCTATTATTAAATCTAGTGATGAGGGTCCATTTCCAACTACAGGCCAATCACCATACTGAATGTTATCCCCAAGCTGTTAGTCTGTAATTGTCAATTAGTTGACCAATCTTAGCCATTGTGTCTTTCAGATAAGCAGTATGGTTTCATGAGAGGAAGAAACATTGACGCAAATCCTGCTTATTATTTTCAGTTTATTATTCTTAATGGAATGGACGACAGTTTCCAGGTTGACAGTATTTACACTTATCTAAATAAAGCTTTTGGCTCTGTAGATCAATTTGTACTCTCGCAAAGGTTTCAGTGCTTTGGGGTATGCGATTCCTTATTTCACTAGTTTGAACAATACTTGACTGATCATGTGCAGATTATTATGGTAGCAAACGTCACATCTCAACTGATTGTTGTACATTCAGGACTTCCCCAAAGTTTCCAACTTGGTTCACTGCTATTTAATATTTTTATTAATTATGTTACTCAAGAGTTGAGTACTGAGGAATACCTCTCTTTTGCTGATGATCTCAAGAGGTTTAGAATCATTGAGTCATCTCAAGATAAGATAAGTTAGAGAGTTATTAGATAGAGAGTTATTAGAAGAGTTATTAGATAATTTTGCCAAATGAAATACTGACACTGACTTATTTTAAACACTAATAAGTGTAAAACTGTTACCTTCTTTAAGTCAAGTTCACTGACCGAGAGGGATAATGTAATCAACATGTTACATCTGGAGAGAGTTACTCCCATCAGAGATCTTGGTGTGGCATTTGATTCTAAAATGTCTTTCGGGGACCATATGAATTGTACAGTCAACAAAGCCAATCAGACTCCTGGATTCATTAGAAAAACATGTCAAGACCTGTTCTCTTCACAAATTTTGCATACAATGCATCTCGTGTTAGCGAGATCCATTCTCATGTATTTGACCTTTGTTTGGTCACCAAGCTTTTAAAAAGAAATTTCTAGGTTTGAAACAGTGCAACATAAATTCTTCAGACTTTGTGCTTCTTCTTTGGGTGTGCAGAATCCTTTTTGATGCAAGAATAAGGTAGGATTTCTTCATAATTAGGGATACCTACACTGAAATCATATAGAATGTTGACGTAAATTTTTTGTTTAAACTTCTTTGCAGTGAAATTGATTGCTACCTTCTGTTAAACAAATCGAGTTTCAATGTGCAGCAATGTAATTCTAGAAACCACAGTGCTTTATCACAAAAATGATACAGAAATATGTTCACTTCCAACAATCCAATTAGTAGAACTTGTAAAATTGCTGATGGTATTGACAGACCATAGCCATGCCGACATTTTTGTTTTTGAAAGGGTTGCGAGGAGATTGCTTTTTGAATACAGCTGATGTTAGCTCCCTTTGTTAATTAGTTTATTTAAGAATGCTTAAATTATCTTTCATATGCTATTGTGTTTTACACCGTTTTGCAGCATGTCGATCACAGAAGTCCATGGCCTGCTTCACTTAAGAGACGATCATAAGCCCTTTTGAAAACTTGAAGATTAGGTGCTGTTACTGCATTCTGGGGTAGTACGTTCCATGAATTGACAACTTTGGTTTCCCAGACAATTCTTGTGTTGCATTTATATTAAACCTAGATTTCTTAAGTTTCATACTAATACTTAGTAATTGTGGGTTTTCAGGTCGCCGGAAGAAGCTGCTAAGGTCAAAGTTGTAATGCCTCTGCATGACCTCAATTACATCAATACGTTGTCTTCTAGCAGAAAGAGTTAGAAGCCCAAGTGTCATTAGTCGCTGATAAGTTATGGTTTTGAGGTCTGTAGGAATACATGTGTCTCTTCTTTGTTTTCCGTGATTTCAGTTTCAGCCAGATTCCTTCCACCCATTTAGTAATTTCAATTTTGATTCATTCAAAGGTAGCATCCAAGATCTCTACCATTCACAAACTCTATGCAAGTCTTCTTGAAGTTGAAGATGATTCGCCAGAGGTTTGGAATAGAATTTAGTATCATCTGCATACATCTCCAAGTGGGAATGTATATCATCAGGCAGGTTGCTAAAATATAAGATGAACAAAATTGGTTGCAATACCAAGCACTGTGGAACTCCGCTCGTAATTCTCTTCAGTGACAACTTGTTACCTCCAATATGCACACAAAAATTACAACGCTTGAGAAAGGACTGTACCCAATGCAAAATTATCCCTCTTATGCCAAAGTGGGTAACTTTCATTATGGTACCTTGATAAAAGCTTTGGAGAAAACCAAATAAATAATATCTGTCTTCCAGTGGTTATGAGTATGTCCCTCAGGTTTTAGGGTGGGGAAATGCAGCACTTATTCTGTCCTTCAGAAGTAATTCTTGTTTCTTTCATGCTTGGTAAAGAAGTATCACTTAAAATGTTGATAGACGACGAATGTGTCTTCTTCGTGAAAGTATACTTCAGCCCACAACCATTTTTTAAGTCAAAAAGTGTTTCAAAAAATTTCCAGATGTGCCAGTTCTCAATATAACTACAATTTAGTACTTATTAATATTTTATAATATAAATATTTTCAATAATTTTACTAACATTTTGTAATCCCCCTCAGGTTTTAAGCTTTCGAATAATGTGTGTGCTGAAATAGCCTACCTATGAATAATAATAATAAATAATAATAATAATAATAACAACAATAACAACAACAACAACAATAATAACAACAAGCTGGCCTGGAAAATGCAACCTTCGAACCAAACATCACTGCCAAGATTTCTTTGTTGGGACCTTTCCCAGCCCCGTGGAATGAAAAATGTAATCAAATCTATCGCTTGATGTAGATCTAGTGGCAGTAATTGTTTTGTATTATTAGGAATAAGATGGTGATCGTTGTCAAAAGAACTATCTGAATGAGATTTAATTTTTGAAAAGAACATTGAATCATCTACAAAAAGTATATATACCAATTTATTAAAAATTTCTTTCACGTCAATAAATAATATAAACAAAACAATCTACAGCATAACTTCCTGCATCGTTGCAATTGTAACATAAAGCATGAGCAACGGGTGCAAGAAAAAAACCTTTGGGGTTTTGCATATTATTACTTAAGTTTTAAGGATTCACTACCAACAAACTAAAAACCAATCTCAACCTGCAGAATTGGATGATATAGGAAAGATATCTGGTGGTACGATTTGGTAGTAGGATAGATTTTGAGGATTACAAGACTTGCAACATACAGCAGTACCAGGTAGGCTTTTCCAAATTTATTTTGATTGGTGTCTCTCTTGATTTCGTATGGCAGGGGCCAATCTTTCGACAAATGGGGAGTGTTTTAATTCTACTCTTATCAAATTCATCCTTCTCCTTCCTAGATTAAAATTGTTCCTAAATGACAATATTACACAGAGCAATTTTATGGGGAAAACATAGACCAAGGAAAATCTTAAAAGAAAGAAAAGAATTTTAGTAAAATAATAATAAAATGTTCAAATTAGGTGTTCTTCATAAATTACATAACGTTAAAGGGAGGGAGTAGAGCCTGAGATATGCTGCGTTACATAGGGGCAGGGGAACATAAGTTTAGTTATGTGACATTGATTTTTTTTCTTCACATTTTTCAACATATGTTGAAATAATTTTTTTTTTGTCATAAACTAAATATTCAAATATTAACAAATTAATTTGTTGTAAAACATAAATGAATTACAGTTATTGGATGTAAATTGCAAATATAAATTAAAATAAGCTTTTGTCATTTTTATTGAATCTGTAAGATTAGCGAGAGAATATTCAAAACTGATATGCATATATTCTAGAATCCATTTAAATTGGTGCAATAGACTCGCCCATGTGTCATCCATGACTGCACTGCTTGTGATCACAAAGTTTCTATCAGAGCGTCATTTATTCAAAACTTGCCCTCATCTAATTGTTATGTTGAGTCAACATCAAGAAGTAATTCAGAGTTCAATTGTCATAAATTTTAATATACAACACAAATCAAATAAATACGAAATTTGGGTAAATTACAGAGGGGAGAGGGGTAATGAAAATACTCCAAATTTGCCTTGCATAATTTATGGAAGGCCCCTTAAGAGAAACAACAATCTTATTTTGGAACAGGCAAGGAGAGCTATTTTCTTCAGAAGGGAATTGGCAATTCTATTTATTTCAACATTTTAATTCATAACTGCTTACCGGCATGTTGTGGATCGGTACGTGGTAGAGGAGCATGCAATGCTGGCAAGTACGCCAGCAGTGCAAGCAGAAGGCAAGCACCACTCAGAGCTGCACAGCGCAGGTACCGACGAGGAAGAGCAGGTGTACCGGCTACACTCGGCGCCCCACTTAGATCTGGCGCCAGCAGCCGCTCCATCTGAAATTATTTCACAATCATTTCACATTATTTATTTGTTTACACAAAATTAATTTATTAATATATTTCTATATTCCACTGACAATAACAATCCAAAAAAGAAATGTTTAGAAAAAATTCTAACTAAATTTAAATTACAAAACTTTAAGAGAAAAACAACAACAAAAATTCGGAATATCTATTTTCAGTTACTTAAACAACTGTGCATTTCCCATTTACAACAACTGAATAATAAAAAGATTCAAAACTTTGATGCAGCCAAATAGCTAGAAAACTCAGATCCCTATAATTTACTAATTGCTAGGATTAAATTATTTTAAACTTTCCCTGTTTTACATTCGTTTACTTCTGATGAATAATGGGTAAAATGTTACACAATACAGGGTACATAATGCTACTGCCAAAATTTCTACATTAAGTACTACCCCCATAACCTAAACATTTTCTACAAAAATGAAAAATTATATTTTGTGATTACTTTTTTAATTATTTCATTTTTATACTAAATTTATGGAATGTCACATTGGCAATTTTTTCAACAAGGTTTTTTAGTACATTATCACCTTTTTTTGCCATGTCAGCAATGAGGTGCCCTCTGAACTATTGGAATATATAATTTGAAAAATGAACATCAGATCAGCTGTCATCAAAAGCTTTTGGGAGACCGTTGTATATAATTTTCTCACAAAATATTAACACTTGAACATAACAACCAATGAACTATCAAATTATAATCTTCACCCTCAGACTTCGAATTTTTGTTGATGTATCTTAAAAATGTGTGCCAAATACCCCAAGTTCTTGAACTGCATTAATATCAGGTGCAACAAAAGATGTTAATAAGTAACTAACACTGAGTGAAAACATATAAACCACAATAAGATTTTTCCCTGTAAAACTTAAATTTCAGGTTTTTAGTTTTTAATTTAATGTACCTGATCTAAATCAATTTAGTTTCAGATGGAGCCCTAAAAATCCCTCTTGCAAGATTTACAAATATTTTAGGGATAAAAAGATATCTGTATTGTTGACATCAAAATCAAAATTAAACACAAATTATTAATTTCAAAACAAAAATGCTCCTAGGTTAGATTACAAACTACACTGATAAAACCTCAACAATTTTCTACTTACTTCAGCTTTACTTCAATTGTCATTAAAAAAAAAATACATAATGTCTTCTGTTATATCCCGTGAATGAAAGGCAAATGATGTTATCAAAAAACAGGCTTGTGTATCTCATGGTTAAAGAATGCACTTCTTATTTCTTTAAATCGACTAGATTTTGTAAGAAAGAACACCAAATGCATTACTCTTATAAATTATAATAAAAATTAAACAGAGCACAAAAATAGCATAAAACACGGACATGTGAAACCAGTTTTTTTAAACAATCAACAGCAATGAGAAAACAAACTTATATCTATATTAGACCTCATTTGTTAATTTAAAAAAAAAAAAAATTACAGTAATCTCTTCTGAATTTGCATTTACAATATTACAACTTCTATTTTCAAACAAGCAGTCTACCAACTAACTAACAGTAAATTTTAACAGCAACAATCCCTTTTAAATACTAGCAATGCAATATTGCCTTTTGAAATTTTAGAGAACTTTCTTCTCTTCTGATGATTAAAATGTTTTGTTTGGGAAATATTTTGGAATGTTTGACATTCACATCATCCATAGTCAAAAGCAATAACACGCATATTAATAATACTTATACTAAAATAATCCAATGCACAATTCTTCAATATTACCTGACATACAAAACAGAGGATAGAAATACATTTTTAACATTTTAATGTCTTCCTGTTACACAAATTAGGTCCACTACAATAACATTTATTCTCTACACAGATGGAATGTCAACTGCATCAGTTCTGGAGGGAATCTCAAAAATTTTGCATTACCCTGCTAAAATAATTCATATGCAATTCTAAATCATTTATCTGAAGCTTAAAGAAAAGAGGCAAAGAAGACAGTGTATGTCTAAAAAAATGTGTGATCTAAGCATTCCACATAGAGAACTGAACAATGAAATAATGACAGAAGAGGACAAGGGATAACATTCCTTAACAATACTAAATTTTTAAATTTTGTGGCATGGAGACAGTGAAACTTTCTTAAAGAAATCGCGGTCTCGTGACGATAACTCTGCGAAAATGGAAAGTGAAAGTTCATGTCCACATGTTAACGCTGAAGAAAACCGAAGAAGAAAAAAAATGAAAGCCTGTCACAAACCGGTCAAAGGGGTTAGGAACAACAGTCATCATCAAGTATATAATATATCACCTTTATGAAAGCATTCACAGAGGGCCGGTAACGGCCGGTCCGGCCACATGCCTGACGCACTAATATTCTCTCCGCCGCCACCCCACACACTCTAGCACCATCGACACTTCCATCACCCGCTTTCGGCAGCAACTGCTCCGCGGCAACCACCGCCACTGTACAAAGTACTCGGACGCTACTCGTATACTCTCGTGCGCACTGGCTGGCTGGCTGTGCTTCCTGCCCCTTCCACGCCAATACAACACGAAACACGCGTCGCGCCAAGTTCTTCAACTGTTCACCGTTTCTGTCACTGGTGTTTCTACCAACTTCACGTTGTGCTCACGCGATAAGTTGTCATGCAAACCAAAGGCAAGCAGCATCACGCGTGCTGCATGCAGTGTCATTGCTTCTTCCCGTCATCGATGAATGAATGGATGGACCGGGAATTTAAATTTATTGCACACAATTCTTCATAGAATTTAAGTCCAATTATCTCATTCTTTTTCATATGTTAGCTTGCTGGTTAAAGAAGATGTCTATAACATCCCGGACGTTCCCTTCTAATATATGAGCACACTAATAACTCAAATAATACGAATAATCTAAAAATGTTACGTAATAAAATGAACTCCATTTTCTATTATACGCAATGCATATATCATATTGTTGAATCAACGATTTTGGTAGAGACCCGATTTGATTTACCGTTCCTTTGAATCTGTCGGATTTAATGAAATGCGACAAATAGCATTAAAAGTATTTTTTGTTGAATAACTACTCAAGTCTTTCGACATAAACAAAATACACCGCTGAAACTCATGTTGAAAACATAAAAAGGATTGAAAAATCAAAGGTATGATGGCAAGTAAGTAAATGGTCCATTATTAGTGGCATATGACACAGAATGCTCTGTATGAATTCGGGTTAGGAGTGTTGGAAAAGATAAGATGACGACGCTTGATAAATATAATGCAGCACTCATACGAATGCGCAGTACTCATACGTAACTAAGTTCTGCAAGATTTCGTAAACTTTTACCCGATGACTAATAAAGAGTTTCGAAAATGTGAATTGCCTGAAAACAGTTTTGGGGAATTATTTAAGGAGAATTTTGCTTTTATGACAAAACGTTCATATTCAGTATAATTTGTAAGGGGAAACATTGTAAAACACTGTGTATATACTTGTCAGTATATACATATTTTAAATGAATGACGGGGCAAAACGTATTTTTAACGAAACATTCAATTTAAAGGAATAATTGAAACATTGTTGATGTATGGCGTTGAATCGACCGTGGGCCCGATCAGCATGAAGAAGCATGAACGTTTTTAATGGATTAGTAGGACTGTATGTCATTTATTTATAGTGGACAGTTAAGTATTGTTTCAATATATGGAAGAAAACGTTGCCAAAAACTATCGAAAACTTGCGGAACATCCAAGAATCATGCACAGATCTCTTTGGGGCCCTATTAATATTTTAGAGAGTGCAAACATGTCTAAACTGTGGGACTCCCTAAAATCTAAAATTGAAATACTGGACGTATGCTATCAAAATTAATATGAACGTGAACTCCAAGCACTGCAATTTAAAAGTCAATATTAATGTACGCATCGCCGGTTATCAAAATTGAGACGCCGCGGCGGGTGAAAGAAAAAAATGAGAGGAAATGAGACAGTGAAAATAATGAATACTAACTTCAAATAGTCATATTCTTCTGAGCTAGTAAAAATGCCAATGCAGGAGTAAAATATTACTACGGGTTTTGTGTAAACTCTCTGTGGGACTCGAACCCTAGGACTTCTCGGTCAGGCGCACTGCAGTGACATCAGTTGATGTCCTGAGCCACATCAGTCGGTCAAATCCTTATTTCCTCCCTTTTTAAAATATTAATTCGGGAAATTCATGACATTTGGGAAAGGGACTGTCCAAACCACCTGATAACTGTATATGCTTCATCATAAAATGTATTTTATTATTGATTTTATTTCAATCTCCCTTTATTATTTACTTGTTTTTTTACTAGTAATATATAACTTTTGTATTTGTGAAACGTAGGTGGTCTTCAGGTTTAGGGCCTATGAATTTTCTTTTTTTAAACGCTATTTGGCTGCTGAAAAATTACATACACACACACGCGCGGGCGCGTTGTCAAACCCAAAGACTTGACACATATTTCACTATGTTCACATGTTGAATCTGAAGCCAAAATTGCGCCGTTTCTTAAATTGCAAAAAATTAAAGAATTACAATTCCGACGACACATCATGGTCGCAGCAAAGCGCTGATTCCGAATCATAAACCAGAATTGCGCCACCACCCTCCAGTTTTTTTTATCGCGAAAAAACACCATGAAATAGTAGATTGTAAATTTCACGGTCGATTATTTATTATTATTATTATTATTATTATTATTATTATTATTATTATTATTATTATTATTATTATTATTATTATTGTTATTATTAAAAACTGGAGGGTGGTGGCGCAATTCTGGTTTATGATTTGGAATCAGCGCTTTGCAGCGACCATGATATGTTGTCGGAATTGTAATTCTTTAATTTTATTTTCATTAATGAATTTGTGAACAAATCTTGAAGATTTTAAATGGTTTTACAGGTTTCTCATTTATATAAGATTAACAATTCTTGTCACAATAAATTATTAAAATGGAAACTGACGAAGCACTCTGAAACACACTTCACTGCAATTTTTATACAAAAATTCCAAATAAATTTTACATAGTACTTAAAAAATATGACAAAAACAAAACACGTTTGTGATATCATGAAGACATTTATTTCGAAATATGTGAGGGCGATTGAGATTAATGTGGCACGCTGAAAAACAATATTGGGGAGGTGTAAGCGGGGCGAATTATAGTTTTCTGTAATAGAACTGCCTTCGTGAGTTCAAGCGAGTGAAACGACGGAAAAAGTTGTCCTTTATTATCGACGTGGCATCTGGTCTCAGCGCCAATGGTCTCGTGCTAGAGTGGTGAAGTAACGTGCAGAATCGGCCAGTCCTTGATAAAGATTCTATCGACTTGAAGTCGCGCACACACGAGACGGCGTCATGCAAACCACAATCACGGGCCGTCGCGCATGTCGCATGCACAACAATCAGTGTTGCTTTTCATCGATGAATTGATATCTTACCAGATCATTGAGGGACTATACGGTAATGAAACCCAAGGATCCGCGAAAGTTCCACTAATAGCATCTGTTACGACAATCGATGTTCCCCGAACGCAGAAAAGTGAATTACAGAGTAAATTGAGTACATTGGTATTGCAAATTTGAAGCGATATTCACGTTTTAAAGAGTTTTGATTATATTACTTTAAAATATATGTTTAATCCGACGTCGTCAACAGAATACTATCCGGCGTCCTTGGCCTAATTACTTAACAGCGCTCCGTGAAGTCACGGACAAAAGACAATTCAAGGATTACTCCTAATTTCTTCGCTCAGAAAACCAAGAAGGGCTATAAGAACGTGTTGTGAAAAAGATTAAAAAAACTAGTCGTGACCAAATAGCACGTACTTTCTTGAATTATTTCTAACTTTTTTGAAAATTCAGAGTTGAAACGAAAGTGAGACCGTTTCGAAATGAGAGCATTCGTTTAAATGTTCCTTGAACAATCCATGAAAAAAAATGGAGCGTTTTTTAGACAAAGTTTTTATAATTAACATTGACTTCAAGCAGAAATTACGTGAATTTCGTTTTTTTTCGTTTCATTTTTCAAAAAACTGCGCATGTCATTTTAAAGATCTGAATTTTTAGAATAGATTTCATTTGAGACAAAAATCATTAACTTCAATATTGTAATTTTGCGATGTTAACTTTTTGCAATTTTCAAAAGTACAGGGAGTACGCCCGAAATGGTATCAGCACCAATTTTTTTACAGTCCTTTGATACGAGGAGAATATTAAAAGAAGAAAATGTAGTAGTTTTTGAGACAAAAGAGTATAAAAATTGCCTATATTTCACTCAAAATTACGCAAAAACTACTTATTTTTGAACATTTGTACATGAACATTTTCAAGATTTGTTCTTAAGGATCAGATTACATTATGGAAAAAATTATCTTCAATATTGCAGTTGTAGGAAGACGCCGAAAAAATGTGAATTTTTGCAATATCTTTTTAAAGTATCAGAGATTTCAATGACAATAAGACCTACGCCTTTTAAGTGTTTTCTGCGCTATCTGAGAACACAGTTCAATAAAAAATTGGAATCATTTTCTAGAAAATTTAGAATATTTTTTTAAGATTTCATGTAATGTACACCTCGAAATCAAAATATCCGTTTTCATTTTGCAAAGCCTTTACTTAGTTCAGATCGAACGGGAAATATCAATTTTGAAAACAATTGTCTGAACGGTTTAGAAGCTAGCGTTGGCCAGACACAGACTGACAAACAGGGACAGATTGACTTTTTGATCTCAATCGCTTTTTCCGTACCAAGAACCCACACAACATGAATTCTGACTACACAACGCGTTAGAGATAGTAATTTATTACATGTAGGAACATTATTTATCCAATTTGTCGTTTACAGGGACCAACAATATGAGTTCTTCGAAACTTTGCCGTTTCTGGCACTTGATTACAATAATTTTTCTTCTTACGAGGTTTGCTGGAAGTTTAAAAAAATTTAAATCACATAGTAGAAAGTTTGAAAAGACAAGAAGCTTCTGGGAACCACTTAAAACAGTTTGCAGCTATTTATCAAGCACTTTCAATACAACAGACCAATTACATGCAAATTCATTGATCTAAGTACATTTCTGTCATTTGAGCTGCAACTCCCATTTTTACCACTGTCAGTAATAGTATTTGTAATGCCATTTAGCAGATCACTTAATTCCCCAATTCGAAAACTACGTGAATCGCAGCTTATCAAATCGCCTCCGCACAGCAACTGCACTATTGCTGCTTTCAGAAATTAAACGGACAGTAGCTATTGAACAGATGTTCTCAGATCTGCCATTAAATGTAGACACGTATCTTTCAGCTGTAGAAAATAATGGCTTTGAAAACTGTTCGGCAAGTTTTCTGAACAAAAATTTAAGAAAAGTGTATGAAAAAAATCTGAGAAAGAAATATAAGCGGATAATTTGAAACATCAATACGAATTAACTTTTCCTACACGATTTAAATTTATTGTGACTATTTGCATAAATTTTTAACATTTAGGTTTGTTAGATTACATTTTTTAGTTATTGTATGGATATTGACCAGAAGATAAAAAATATCCACCAGCAAAGGAAATGCAGGAAGGATTTCTTACGATTTCGATAAACTGCGACAAATATATTCGATTGCCTTCATGCTAAAATACAACATTAATAGTTATTTATGTAACAATTCCTTTAAATGAGTCCTTGAAGACTAAT